ACACATACAAGCACAACGATATTCTACAAACTGGACTCCCGCTTGCCAGGGGTAACGGGGCGTGACAGACGTTTGGCTGTCCTCCTCCCCCTGTCCCCTCCCCCATGGTCCGAGATCGCATTTCAGGGGGGGGGGGGCGGGGGGGACTTGTGGGGCTTGCGAGCTCGCCAACGCAGTCCGGAAGCCTCCGAGCCTCCAGGATGGCCAAGTCGCTCTTCAAGCCGGCTGAAGCTGGGCTCAAAGACGCCGAGGAGACCTCAAACACACCAACCATGGCCCCAAGACAGCCCTAGAGGGCTCCGAAACGCTCCAAGAGAGATCCAAGAGGACCCCAGGAAAGGGCCCCAAGAAGCAACGTTTGCCGCAAGTCCCTTAGAGAAGCATAATGGCGCTTCTGGTGCCAACATTGTCCACGAAGGCCCAAAGAGGCCCCACAAATCGCTCCAAGACGGCCCAGGAAGCTCACAAGACGGCCCAAGAGGGTCCCAAGACGGCCCAGGAGGCGCCCGAGATGGCCCAAGAGGGACCCAAGGGGGGCACGTTGAAGTGGCATGTCGAGCCCTCCGCCCCTAGAGGAGGACCCCCGAGACCGCCAGCGGGCGCCAGAGAGACCCCAGAAGAGGCACCAACAGGCTTCCAAGAAACCCCCAAAATCCCTCAGGGGCATCAAACGGTCCACTGCAGAGTCCTCGTTTGCAGACTTATTTCCTCGTCGGGGTCGACGGAATGGCGTAAAACTCTTGAACATAATGGCTTCTGCCAGCTGGGCTGGGCATCGCGATGGCTGTGAAAATGACCAAGGAAGCGCAGAACTCGAATGTAAAACGCGCGATTTTGCCTGACGGGACCGTCAGATAAATGGCGGGACCACGTCAGAAATTCGACCTGACCCTGCGCTGCACACGCTGCTCGAAAACTCCACCGTCAAAACTCATGGTGGGACAATGAAAAAAACGGCAATCTCGAGTTCTGGCAAACTCGAGTCTTACATTTAGCTGAAATGAGCTACAGAGGTCTGAGCTACAGAGGTCTGAGCTATTCGAGTCTTTCATTTTAAGAGTACCACATCACCCTACAAGTCCGCCTCCAACGACCAAATCAGCTCACGTGCCGATCACCCCGTGTATCGAAATATGCTCGATGTCGCTCCCGCGCACTGTCACGGTCCTCGCATCACCCTGCACTTGCAGATCTCCTGCTTCGGCAAGGTCATGAACAAGAGGATGCTCCGCTCGCGCTGCTGAATTTCACGGCGGCCACGTGTTGGTTGGCTCAGGTTGCACTGATTGCTCTCACTGCGCTCATCTTTTTGGACGCCCGACATGGGTACGACAAATGTTGTCCCAACAACAAATGTTGTCCCAAACCAACAGCGGCCGCTGTTGGGCAGGCGGCCTTCTGTCTCAAATGTACACAGGCCGCGGCGGCGCGGACAGCGAGTCCTGTTCAAAATGAACAGGAACTGCTGTTGAGCATGGTACCCATTCTTTCCGCGCCGATCTCGTTCGTGCAGAATCTTGCAACTCCCCCTGCTCCTCTTCTCGTGCTGGCCGGAGGCGGAAGGGGGCAGGGCGGCGGCGAGCGAGGGGGGGAGTGCGCAGGGGCGGGCCCTCCCAGAAGGCACGGCAGCCATCCAGCCTGCAGAGAAGTTCCCTGCGCCTCCCCCGAAGACGCAGAAGACCCTTCGGTAGGCCAGAGGCCTTCTGAGAAGCCCCGCCGCCTTCTGAGGAGGCCTTCTCCTGCTCACTTCCCCCCTGGGCGCGCCGCCGAGTACCGGTCAAAATCATTCCAAGACCCCTCCCGATTTTTGTCCGACCCGGTGCTTTCCACCCCGGTTCAATTGTCTGGGGTCCCGGGGGCCCGAAAGAGGCCCCCAGAGGCCGAAAATTATGACTAACCACCTTGAACCTCGAACCTGGGAGCGCGAATCGAACTGAAAACTGTGCAAAAAACGCCTCGAACCTCGCACCTCGGAGCTCGAGCCTCGAAGTTCCCGCCGCCGACGGGGGGGCAGGAGAGCGCAGAATCGAATCGACAAATCGGATCGGCAATCGAAAGGAATCGGATCGGCGGAAATCGGCAGCCGAGTCGGGAGAAGTCGAATCGGCAGACATCGGCAGGCCAGTACGAACGCACGAAAACCGCCCCCTCCCCCCCATGAGAAACTTTAGACCAACTAGACCGCGCGCACGCCCCCCCCCCCGCTGCGGCAGCTGGCAATGGCCTCGCTTACAGGGCGCCTACACCTACGCACATTCGCCGTAATTGTAAAACGTTGACACCTAAAATCCATTGTTGTGGGGGCTGTGGTCGGTTTCCCACTGTTCATAATTGGCCTCCATTGGGAAATCGGATCCCCCAAGCCGAATCGGAATCGGAATCGGAAGCCATCGAAGTCGAACCGAATCGAATCGGCGGAATCGCAACGAGCCAGGGGGTGGGACCGCGGCGCCCACGTTCGTTAAAGGCTTAACGACTTCTGCCGTCCGTCGACTCGCGCTGGAGCGGCCGCGAGTTGCTCCAACTTTCCCTGGAGATCTCTGGATCTACCTGGACTCACCCAGATGCATCTCGATTCGCCTGGACTTGCCCGGATCTACCTCGACGTATCTGCACTTGCCTGGATGCATCTCGATCCGTCTGGATCTACCCGCATCTACAGTCGGGGCGTTGACCTAAGGAACCCTAAATAAGGAACGAGCCCCCTTTTTCCCAGAAGTTCGACCTCGATTTCCCATGGAAAACCTCAGGAAAACCCGAGGTGAACTTTGAAACAAACAAGGAACACCGAGCCCCCCCCCAACAAAAAGGGTTCCTTCTGTAGCGCCCCGACTGTACCTCGAATTATCTACACCTGCCTGGACTCATCTGGCTCGATCCCCACCAGGTCGACTGGCGAACAGTCGACAAGCCCTTCGGGACACGCCGCGGGGGACCCACGGGCCCGGTGGGCACGCGGGCCGCCAGGAGGAGGAGGAGGAGGAGGAGGGCGAGGGGAGGAGGAGGAAGAGGGAGTAGGAGAAGGTGGAGGTGGAGAAGCTGGAGGTGGTGGGGGGAGGAGAGAGAGAGGAGGAGGAGGAGAAAGAGGAGGTGGAGAGAAGGATTGAGGAGGAGGAGGAGGAGGAGTGAGGAGGAGGAGGAGGTGAGGAGGAAGGTGGAGGAAGGGAAGGAGGAAGAGGAGGTGGAGGTGGAGGAGGAGGCTCGATCCCCACCAGGTCGATTGGCGAACCGTCGGCAAGCCCTTAGGGGGACCCGCCGCGGGGGACCCACGGGCCCGGTGGGCACGCGGGCCCCCCGCCGAGGCCGCACGCGGGGCCGGGGCGACCGGGGAGGCCCGGAGCCCCGCCCCGGCCGGACACCTGCATGGTTTTTCCCAACCATCCCTATAGGGAGCTCCACCGAAGGCCCCAGTGGTTGCTCTCGCATGCGGCTCCCCCACCCAGGGCAGCGCTTCGTGGCCCCATAGGGAGCTCCACCGGAGGCCAAAGTGGCGCAGTTCGCATGCGGCTCCCCCACCCAGGGCAGCGCTTCGTGGCCCCATAGGAGCTCCACCGAAGGCCCCAGTGGAGCAGTTCGCATGCGGTTTCCCCACCCAGGGCAGCGTTTCGTGGCCCCTTAGAGACTCCACCGAAGGCCCGCCCCAGTGGCGCAGTTCGCATGCGGTTCCGCCACCCAGGGCAGCGTTTCGTGGCCCCATAGGGAGCCCCACCGAAAGCGGCACCCACAACGCGTTGGCCCAATTGCTTAGGGTTGGGTCCTTCTCCAAGATAATTCCCCCCCGGGGCTGTGGGCGACCCGAGGAGGAGGAGCAGGAGGAGGAAGAGGAGGAGGAGGAGGAGGAGGAGGAGGAGGTGGAGGTGGAGGTGGAGGTGGTGGTGGAAGGTGGAGGGGAGGAGGAGGGAGGAGGAGGAGGAGGCGGAGGAGGAGGAGGAGGAGGAGGAAGGGAGGGCGAGGAGGAAGGGAAGGAGGAAGAGGAGGTGGAGGAGGAGGGAGAGGAGGAGGAGGAGGAGGAGGAGGGAGGAGAAGAGGAGGAGGAGGAGGAGGAGGAGGACGGGTCGCTTAAGCCCTTCGGAGAAGCCCTCCACGGACACCCTCTCGCGCGGAGAGCACCTCGCGACCAGGGTTAGCTCGGGCGTGTCCTCCCACAGGCGGATTTGGAACGAAAAATTAAAAATAGTCAGAAATCAGCCAAACAAATATTCAAAAACACTTAGACAAAAATCGTCCCCAGACTAATACTGGACTATCTTTGAATCTCCCCCCTGTATAGGGACAGGCCCGGCTTCAGACCAGGGCTGGACCTAAGCGATGTTTTTCGTTTTGGCTTCATTTGTGGTTTTCGTTTTGCTCTGCGGCAGGTTCGTGTCGTTGCCGTGACGACCCTGGCGTTGGTTTCTGACCCCGCGTCGATCGTTCAGCCTTGAACGATCGGCGGCTTTCCGATCGCCCGTTCTTCCATGTAGGCAGATTTTGGGCCACTGGCGGCGTTCCACATTGAACGCCCGCGGCGGAGTCGCCGCCGGTCGACACGACGCGAACCTACCGTTCCCGATTTTCTGTGCCTCCCTGCCACATAGGAAAAACAGAACGCAGCCCGAGTCCAGCAGAACACCACTCAGGTCCAGCCCTGTTCGCGACTCTCGCCCTTCCCAGGCCCCCTCGCGTTGTGAGAAAAATTGCGGTGAGAGGTCCTCCTCCGTTTTCGGCCTCCCGGGGGTCCCTGACCTGGCCTCGGGACCGTGACAAAACGATTCGGAATGAGAAACCGGCCCTGGGGAAGGGGTGGAGATCTCTGATCGTCGACGTCGCGAAACAATCACCACGGCGGTGGTCTGGGGGGGACCGCCGATGGCACCGGCCCGCATCGCACAAACCCCAAAACTCCAATCAGAACCAGAAGGGATCGCAAGGTTTTTCCGTAGACGGCTACCACTTGTCAGCACGAGCATTCTGATCATCGGCAAGGTCACTGTGCACGTGAATGAACGAATATGGCTTTTTCAGCGCGGGAACGGCGCACCCGCAGCAAACTCATCCACGCAGGCATTCTGGCGGATCAGCGACTTGTAGTCTGGGCGCCGTGACACATCATGAATGGTGAACTCGTCCCATGCCAACTGATGTGCCCACGACGACGCAGCCATTAACACCCACAGTAGAAACGCTGGCTAGCAGCTTAAGCCATCTCTCTGTGCTCCATAGAACCATTATGTGCTTCACCTCTTTTATCCGCTGCCCATCCTCATGTCTGGCTATAACATACCACACGACTCCGGGCCCCACCTCGACAATCCGCAACTCGGGCGGGGAGAACAAACACGTCCTTCGTCCAACAATTTCACGTCGCGTAGAAGCTTGTACCGGCTGCCTGCGGGGCTCTAGGAGGCGGCAGGACTGGGGAAGCGCGCGACGTCAAATGCGCAACAAGAGCCTATACACATTATAGATGTTTGCATCTACCTACATGTATATATATATATATATGTAGGAATGTGGATGGAGAAATCTGCATCTGTATATTTATGCACAAATATACCTATATATGTATATACGTGCCCATGCGCTCTCCCAAGCACCCCCCAAAACACCGAAACAACATTTCACTCACTCATCGTCTTCTTCTCCCCCTCCAGCCGTGTAGTTCTCCTCCTCACCAACATATCTCCCCTCGCCCTCCGCATCAACTTTCCTCCCCGTCCCTCTCCTCCTCCTCCGCACCTTTTGCCGCCTCGTCCTTATCTTTCTCTAGAGACAGCGGGCCAGGCAGGACAACTTGTGACCACACACGCTCACAAACAAAACACATCATTCCAATGGTTTTGGTGAGGGCGCCATATCGATATGTAAACATAGATGTGCAGAACACGCAGATTATTATATACACAGATTCTCGATGGTGTTGGATGGAGAACGATGTGAAACAAACCACATCTAAACACATAAAGGTCAAGGTTTTTGGGAAACGGGGGAAAGGCAGGGAGATTGCGGGAGCAGGAGGAGGAGGATGCGCCTCCACTACCCATAGACAGTGTGCGAGCCAGACAAGCACGTGAAACACACAAGCCATGCGACAACACATTGAACACAGATGGTCCCTTTGGCTTCGGCAAAGAAGCCCTGTGAAACACACAAGTACATCAATTCCGTTTCATGACAATGGCAAGAACAATAGGTCTGTGGACAAAAACACGTGCTACATATCCGACTCTACGCTTTAGTGAGAAAGGGAGGCCCAAAAGAGGTTCTTGGGAACAAGGAGAAGATGATCCACGTCTCTTCATACACAACGTGGAAGGCAGGACAACCTGTGATACCACAGATAAAACATATCAATGTGATGGCGTTGGTAATGGAACCATGTCAAGATACAGAACCACACATATGAAACTGAATGGCGCTGGCTAGGACTCCGTGTGACACACTGACACAACATACGATTTAACCAGCCTCAGCAAAAGATCCATGAGAAACGCACTCACACACATCAAACGGTATACTTCACGGCGTGTTCGGGGAACCTCTGGGGAACATGAAGACGATGCGTCCCCCGGGAAGATTAAAGTATCTTTGTTGTCTACCGGGCTTCCTTGCCAAATCCATGACAAGTTCATGACGTCTATGTGCTCAAAGGAATGCCCTTACCACAAACACGAAGCTTGTTTGAGCTACTGGTGTTTGCACATGGCTTCCATACCAACGCCGTGCAACCTATATGTGATATTACCAACCCACAGGCTGCAATGATTGACGCGTGGAGTATGGTAAAGAGGAGGAGCATCCTCCTGCTTCTCCCACTACCTCCACGCGGCTAGATTTATTCGCTAATGTATAGAAAACTGCGTGTCAGCCAGCGCGGGCCCCTAACAAGGTGTTCCTCAAAAGCCTTAATGGATAGTCTATGCGGCAGAATATACGTGATGCAATGTCGGTGGTGCAACATACGCTGCGCAATGCTGCAGCCCACCAAGCACAACACTCCGTGGCGCATAGGGCATCTCACGGAACGCCCTAATGGCACCGCCCGCATGCGTCTCCCCCACCCATTACGCTACATCCCTCACGCGCTTTGTGGCCACATAGGGAGCGCCAAGGAAACCTGCATCCACAACGCGTTACTCACAACTGCATATGGTTGGATCCTTCGCGAGGATAAGCTGTTTTTTTTTCCTAACCAACTTGTGTTGTCGTGTCCGCGTTTTGAATCGACACCGCCGCGCGTTATCCTCCTTCCTTCTTTCCTTATTTCTCCCCCCCTCCTCCCTACTCCCATCGCCATCATCATCAACGCCATCAACACCATCATCACTATCGGCATGATCGACGTCATCATCACCATCACCCATCATCGTACCAACATCACCCATTCCGGCAAACCCCTCACACGCTTCGTGGCCCATATGGGGGCTCCACCGAAGGGCCCAGTGGGACCGCCCGCATGCGTCATCCACCACCCAGTACAACGGTTCGTGGCCCCAAAGGGAGATCCACCGAAGGCACCAGTGGGACAGCCCGCAGTCGTCAGCCACCACCCAACACAGCGGTTCGTGGCCCCGTAGGGGGCTCCACCGAAGGCCCCACTGGGACCTCCTGCGCGCGTCATCCACCACCCAATCAACATGTGGTGGCACATCGGGAGCTCCACTCAAAGTTCCAGAGCCACCGCCCGCATGCGTCGTCCACCGCCCAGTGCAACGATTCGTGGCCCCATAGGGGGCTCCACTCAAGGCCCCAGAGGGACCGCCCGCATGCGTCATCCATCACCCAGTACAACGCTTCGTGGCCCCAAAGGGAGCTCCACCGAAGGCCCCAGTGGTACCGCCCTCATGCGTCATCCACCACCCAGCACAGCGTTTCGCGGTCCCATTGGGAGCCCCACCGAAGGCCCCAGTGGGACCGCCCGCGCGCGTCATCCACAATCCAATACAACGGTTCGTGGCCCCATAAGGAGGTCCACCGAAAGGGTCCAGAGCCACCGCCCGCATGCGTCATCCACCACCCAGCACAGCGCTTCGTGGCCGCATAGAGGGCTCCACCGAAGGCCCCACTGGGACCTCCCGCGCGCGCCATCCACTACCCAGCACAACGCTTCGATGCCCCATAGGGAGCTCCACCGAAGGCCCCGGCGGGACCGCCCGCATGCGTCATCCACCACCCAGGACAGCACTTCGCAACCCCATCGGGAACTCCACCGAAGACCCAATGGGACCGCCCGCGTGCGTCATCCACCACCCAGCACAGCATTTCTCGGCCTCATAAGGAGCTCCACCGAAAGCTCCAGATCCATCGCCCGCATGCATCATCCCAAACCCACTACAGCACTTCGTGGCCCCATAGGGAGGTCCACCGAAGGGCCCAGAGGGACCGCCCGCATGCGTTATCCACCACCCAGCACAGCACTTCGTGACCCTATAGGGAGCTCCACCGAAGGGCCCAGTGGGACCGCCCGCATGCGTCACCCACCACCCAATGCAGTGTTTCGTGGCCCCATAGGGAGCTCCACCGAAAGTCCCAGTGAGACCGCCCGCGTGCGTCATCCGTCACCCAGTACAGCGCTTCGTGGCCCCATAGGGGGCCCCGCCGAAGACCCCAGTGGGACCGCCAACATGCGTCATCCACCACCCAGCACAGCGCTTCGTGTCTCCACGACAAGCTCCACCTAAGGTCTCCGTGGCGGAACTCGCATGGCGGCGCAGTGGCGGAGTTCGCATGGCGGCGGCTTTCGATGTTCATTTCTTTTCGTACTCGACGTGTTCAGGCCGCTTTCGGGCCACGCATCCCGGGCGGGAGCCAGCCTGCTCGCTCTCTCTGCTCCGCGCAGCGAACGACCCGCGCGCAACGCCGGGACCCCTTTAGGGGCGACCAGCGCGCGTCGCGGGGACTCCGCGCGGCGCCGCGCCCGCAGCCGTGGACGCGGGGGTGCACGGGCAAAAAGCAAAATGCAGAACGGGAAGGAAGCGGGCGCGATCCTCATGAGAGGCGCGCCGACGTGGGCGTCGACATTTATACGCGTAAACTCACGCGCGCGCAAACTCATCCACGACCAGACTCACTCGCCCTCAGTCTCTCGCACGCAGAGCTATCGTCTTCGCTTGCGTCGTGTGCCCCGCCGCGCATGTCGGCGCGCCCCTCGCGCGGTTCGTGGCCCCATAGGGACCGCGGGCGATGTGCGTTGCTGTGGGATTCGCAACTGCATATGGTTGGGTCCTTCGCCAGGCTAGCATTTGCGTGTTCTCTCTCTCTCTCTCTTTCTCTCTCCCTCTCTCTCTCTCTCTCTTTCTCTCTTTCTCTCCCGTATATAGATGATGTGTCCATATATGCATGCATTAGTCACAGGCAAACGCGCGTTGTCAGTGTTGGTCTCTCCCTCTCTCTCTCTCTCTGTCTCCCCTTCGCTCTCTCTCGCACATGTGAGGAAATGGCAGAGATAATCAGCCTTCATGTTAATCCTGATAAATGATCGGCGCTTTTGTTTTCATGTTGGGTCTTATTAGAATGCCCTCGACAGAAATGCGGTCCCGGGGCGACTCCACTCCGAATGGTTTCCTGAGATGGCCCTGTCCAAATCCAACAGGAGTCCTCTCCGATCTGGCACAAACTCTGTTAAGACTGATGTGATTTTAGAATTCCACCCACGCCGAATCCGAGTCTCATGGGAATGGAATGCGGTATGGAATGTGACACAACCGAACATGCGATCAAGACAGCTATCGTTTTCGAAATCTGGGCCTGCTTCCGCGATGTCTAACCAATGCCGCGCGCAGGAAATGCGCCCTGCCCATCCAGGCCTCGGGGGAGCGGGGAAGGGGAATCGGGCTCGGCGGCCAGCCCAGGGGGGGAAGTGAGAGGGCGCAGGCCTTCTCAGGCGGCGGCGGCGCCTCTCAGAAGCCCTAGCGTTTTCCGATGGTCTGGAGGGCGCTGCCCAGCAGCGCCGAAGTCGGACGGGCCCTCCCTCGGCGGGCAGGAACTCGAAAGCGCCGCGGACTGCACCTCGGCCGGCTGCCTCGCCAAGAGCCCGACGGCGCCGTCGCCGACGGGGTAGCGCCTGCGGAAGGCGGACAGCCGCTCCCCCTCCTCCTCGGCGGGCGCAGCGGGCGCGCCCGAACTGCTCCTCCTCCTCGGCGCGGGGCGCGCGCGAGCTGCTCGGCCCGCGCGCGCCGCCCACCTCCTGGAGCCGCCGGAGCGCCTCGACGGCGGCGAGACCCGCCCGCCCCACTTCCTCCGGCGACACGTCCTTCGGGCGGGAAGAGAGCGCCTTCTCGTGACCTCTGTCGGGGCCGTGCCTTATCCTGTACTCAACGCGCCGCGCCTTCTCTCCGTTGACCCAGCTGACGTGATTGACACCGCTCTGGCCGCGGTGGCCGCCGCCAG